ATATTTGCAAAAAACACATGATCCTTTATTAAATGGATCCTATCGTGGTATAATAAAAAAAATGTTTTCACCTGAAACTACACTAAATATTAATGAACTTTTTATAAATAAAATTCATAATATTCTAATTAATGATTATAATTACCAAGAATTTGAACATAAAAAAGATACATTTAGCCCAATATTACTAGAACAAAAAATTCGACATCACATACCTTTAATCCCTAAATTTCCTGATTTTTTGGGATTTAATTACTTTTTTGGGGAATTAAGTAAAAATAAGAAAAAAAATTATTTACTTTCCGAAGAAGGCCAAATTGGTTCAGAAGATCCAGACATTTTTTTCAAATTTTTAATTGATACAATCCTAACGGATTCCTTTACTGAAACAATTCCAACGGAATCGCTTGGAATAAAAGAAATAAGTAAAAAAGTTCCTCGTTGGTCATACAAATTAATCAACGATTTAGAACAAAATATAAGACAATATGAAAAAGGCATATCGACGGAGCATCAAATTCGCACAAGGAAAGGGAACCGTGTAGTGATTTATACAGATAAGCAAGAGAATATCGATAATCCGGCCCCTAATACCGCGGATACATCGGAGCAACCAGGCGAAATAGCTTTGATACGTTATTCAGAACAATCTGATTTTCGTCGAGATATAATTAAGGGTTCCATGCGTGTTCAAAGACGTAAAATAGTTATTTGGGAATTTTTTCAAGCAAATATACATTCCCCACTTTTTTTAGACAGAATAGAAAACTCTTCTTTTTTTTATTTTACTGTTTCCAGATTAATTAAACGAATTTTAAAAATTTTTATGGGAAAAAATGCAAAATTTCATATTTCTGATTCTAAAAAAGAAGAATTAAAGGCGAAAGAGATACAAAAACAATCCAAAAGAAGGGAAGAAGAAAAAAAAGAAAAAGAACGAATAGAAATAGCCGAAACCTGGGATAGCATTCCATTTAATCAAATAATAAGGGGTTTCATGTTAGTAACTCAGTCAATTCTTCGAAAATATATTGTATTGCCTTTATTGATAATAGCAAAAAATATAGGCCGTATATTATTATTCCAACCTGCTGAATGGTCTGAAGATTTCAACGAGTGGGATATCGAAATGCATGTTAAATGTACCTATAATGGTGTTGAATTATCCGAAACCGAATTTCCTAAAAACTGGTTAACAGAGGGTATTCAGATAAAGATATTTTTTCCTTTCCGTCTAAAACCTTGGCACAGATCTATAATACGACTTTCTCGTAAAGATATAATAAAAAAAAACAAACAAATTAAAACACGTAATTTTTGTTTTTTAACAGTTTTGGGAATGGAAACTGATCTTCCTTTTGGTCCTCCCCGAAAAGTCCCTTCTTTTTTTCAACCTATTTTTAAAGAACTCGCCAAAAAAATTCTATTTTTTCGAAACTTAGAAAATGAAAGAAAAAATGGGATTATTGAAATCCTTCTAGGTTTAAAAAAAAAA